GGGGGGGGGGGGGGGGGGGTCAATTTGAACCACTTTTCCCTCTAAATTTCATGTTTGAGGAATACATCTTTGGAAAGCTCATATTCTCTACTTTTAAAATCTGCAAAAAATGCAAATTTGCAAAAATTGATTTTTTTGCAAAATCCAGTTATGCAATAAAAATGTTTGGGCAAAAAAAATATTGTATGTATATGGGAGGGTGGAGGACAGTCAAACGGCGGGTCGGTGTTTCAAAAAATCAGAAATGGTTAATATATCTTTTATTAATTAAGCTACAGGGCTAATATTTATATATTTGACATGTTAATATTTGTCAAAAGTAAAATAATTATTTTTGAAAATTTTTGCGACCTACTTCTAAAATTTTTTAAAAATCCTCCTTTGCACCCTAACCGTTAAAAGTAGAGAGATATCCATTTTTTTACTATAGGGCTATGGACATTGTATCACACAACCCTAGTTCAACTCTGTGGGCAAAATCATACGGGAGACAAAAAAGACCAACCGGGATATGGTTCAAAGTTAAAAAAAATTCTATGAGAAAGTGTTCCCAACCCTGCAATGCACCCCATTTTCCTAAACATTGCTCCCTCTTCAAATTATCTGTTCCCACTGAGCCAGCCCTTGCTCCCCCAAATAACCAACCCTGCTTTTCCTTTTCCCAACCCTGAGAACCTAACTTAATTAGATAACACTCTCCTTAACTCTGGGTCAAACATCTTAAACTCAGATATGGATTTTAAATAGAACTCCTATAATAAGATTAAGGTCTAATGAAAGTATTTGAGAAATTATCATATAATGGATAAACTGTCAATTGATAAGACAATAATATAAGCATATGTTTAATATATTAGGCTTCTACGGGGGCCTAGAGGGTGCATGTCTAGGGGGTACACAGGGTTCTCGCCCCCCACGCCACTGGTTCTTGCAACCAACTTTGATCCCTACAACGTTGCAACCATGGCGGGTCGTAAACCTTTGCTGATATTTGATAAGCAAGAACTAAGTTTTGTACTTTGAAAAAAAAATCGTAAAATTTATAAAATCAAGAAAAAGGGATGAAAGAAAAAACATTTAAGAAAGAAATTGAGTTCTTGCCACAAGCTCTGATCCCGTTGATCCTCCAACCAGTAGTCGTAGACCTTTGATATATCAAACAATGAACTCTGTTAGATAAAAAGTTGAAACAAAAAGTTTACACCATTAGGTTTCAAAGAACTATTGAACTATCAGGTACTATAGCGTTAGTATATTGTAGAACGTTCAAAGTAGCAAAATGAAAAAATTAAAAATGTAGAAAAAAAATTAATTTTTGTAATAATTAATAATTTAAGGTTGTAAATTGTAATGCATTAAACAAAAAGAAACCAAAGAAAACAACAAATCACCAAAAAAGAAACAAAAAAGAAACAGGAATATACAATTCCAAAAATAAATTCAGATTTATCAAATAACCTGACCTCAAGGAAGTAAGGGATCCTTTAATTTAAACCTTAAATATTGGAAATCAATATCTCAACAAATAAATTATATTTCTTAATAGTATTTTCTCGCAGTTATTAAATAAAAGGCATCATAAAAGTTTTGACTATACATAATGGATGGAAATATATTCTCACCAATTTGTGAAGAGAAATTTATCCATGTGAAGAATATTAATAAAATACATAAAAACAGATAAATCTATGAAATCATAAACACTTTTATCTTTCTGTATATGTGCTCATAACACTAACTTTAAAGATTCATTTTCTAAAAAATCATGAATTCTAAACATTTATCTTGGCTTGGCAATGAAGAGTATTATATACTTCAAGCTAGCTAAACGGCTGAACCTAATTGGCTGATATATTTTTTTAATGAATCCAGGGTGGGTTACAAATGCTGAAAAATTAATTATTTTTATTATTTTTTTGTTTCACGGGCAACGCAAGGCACTTCAGCTAGTAAGAAGCTCTTTGCTTGTATATATTTATATATTTCTATATATATCACTTAATATATCAAACATATCTTATGGAATAGTTTGAGTTTAAAAAGTATATAAGTAAAATAAAGGATAAAACTTGTATAGGTGGAGATTTTAAATATAAAAATTCCGATAAACACGAACAATCTTTTTAAGACTTGTTCGAGAAACCTATAACATATATATTTATTTTAAAGGTTTATAATATTTTCTCACTATAAACACTTTAATATGATTTTTTGTGATGCATGCTTTGTAAATAATAATTGAAGTGAAACACGGAGCTATTAAAGAAGACAAAATTGTTTTGATATTCTGATATGTAACTGGATAAACCTGTTTTTCCTTGACTTAAGCGTAAAATTTAAACTATGTTACGAGATCACAATGTCGTAACAGTAATGTCACATTAATTTGACATTCCTCTCCTGTCTAGTAGGCAGTGACATAGGAGAACATAGGAAAGATGAACACATTCATAAGAGAGCACATGGAAGGACGGATATTTCATAATAAAGAAAAAGAAAAAAACGGAGATTTCCATGAAAAAGAACTAAAGAAAGAACGGAGATTTTCATGGAAAAGAACTGAAGAGAGAACGGAGATTTTCATGAAAAAGAACTGAAGAAAGAACTAATTATATATATTTTTAATAGAGAACAGAGAAAAGAGAAAAATGAAGGACAGATTGTTCAGAAAAGAGAGAGAGCAAGAAAAAATCGATTTGTGTAAGAGAGAGGATATGTTTATAAGAGAGAAAAAGGAAGGACCGTCGTGTATAGTAGTTCAAGCGACCAATGGTTAAGATATCATTCTGTGCACAAATTTGAGCTATTAAAAAATAGTTCAATTTAGCCGAAAAATAGTTCAATTGAGTAAAAAAATTGTTTAAGTGAGCCCAAAAATAGTTCAAACGAGCCAAAAATAGTTCAAATGAGCTAAAAATAGTTCACATGAATGCTAGATTTTTCGAGTATTATGTGCGTGTTTTGGCTTTGAAGAAAATCTAACATGGGTTATGTTACATCGTCTATAATATACGCAATATCCCCTTACTGATCTTCATACCTAATAACTTTCCGACCTACTGATCGGACCTACGCCAGCTGTTTATTTTCATATTATTTGAGGGTTGGGTTAGGTGAAGACAATTTCTGGGCCGAACGCTGGGCTAGGACAGGGTAGGTGGCCGGGAACTGCGGCCACAAGTCCATTTAGTATATATAGCTGTAAAACCACGTGCTAGTAGGTCGGATGTGTAGTATAGCGGATTTGTCGTAGGTCAGATGTGAAGTATATAGCGGATTTCCATAGGTCAAAAAATACACCGCCTACAGGGTGTCCCACAAAACATGACATTCAATGCATAGTTATTTTTAGTTAAACAAATCTTTTGCTTAATTATATATTTTACTTTGAAATCAATTTCAATACAACATGACTCTCATATAATATTTGTATTGATATTTGGTATCAAACAACTTGACAAATAATGGAAAAAGGCATTCTAAACTATTCACCAACTGTCTTGTTTCGTGGGACACCCTGTATTATCATCTTATGTGTATAGTTGAGATAAGTACAAATGTCGTCTTTTAAAATTTTACGATTTAACCTTTGATAAGAAAACGCGCAAAATAGAGGGTATAAGCAAAATAATATTTAAGTTTTGAATGTTGTAAATTTTAAAACATTGTATTTTAACGTTATTTGTAGATTTTTATGTTCCAAAGTTAAAAACCATTTTTATATTTCGAACGTGTTTGCTGAGGTTGCGTGATTCTAGTTTCCGGTAAATAGTGTACTCCCGACTCCGTCCACGTTCTTACATTCCTGCATCCTATATGGTTGTCTATACCCGTCGTTCAGCACGTGAACACACATTATGAGGTAAATTTGAATTTAATTATCTTTATAAGTGGGTTACTTTAAGTAATTTTATGATGATTCAATCATAGAGCTTTTATTTATGATCTTACCGTGATTATCAATGATAGGGCTGAAATAAACTAGCCATGTTCGTCTATTTTTTATTGATTTTAAGCTTCAATAGGCATTTTTTTCAGCAAAGTATCCAAGGAGACGCTCTACGAGTGCGTCAATGCTGTCCTCGCCGCATCTAAGGTACGATTTGAGATCAATTCAAATTTTAAGTTTAAGCCTGAGATATAATTTACGGGGCGCTCTGTAGTATATGGGGAGGGGGGGGGCAATTTCTGAGAGAACGATTCTTGTAACACCCGCTCCCCCCCCCCCCTGCTATATTAATTATTCTTATTTGTAGGAGAAGAACCGCAAGTTCTGTGAGACTGTTGATCTCCAGATTGGTCTGAAGAACTACGATCCCCAGAAGGACAAGCGTTTCTCCGGCACCGTCAAGTACGTTACCTCAGCCTGTTGATCTTGTACATCATGTACAGTTCGGCATAAGCTGAGGAAGCCCTCACGGGCGGACCCTCACCCAGGGTCTTAAATATTGGGTAGGCTTACGCCGACACTTTGATATTGTATTATCTCGCTACAGTAAGTTTCATTGAACACAATTTAGGCACATTTTTAGCTTGGGATTATATCTTATTAATAGATTTGTTTCTCGAACCAATGTGCAATATTATTCCTTTGTCTCGTTAGATAGAGCTCTCATAGCTTTTATCTTCCAAAAACTCTGAAACAAGTTCTTTTTAACCCCACCCCCTCCCCCATTAGGTTTTATTGGGGATTATCGCAATTTCTAGCGATTCAAGATTCACAACGGTACACATAAAACCTTGAGATTTATTATGTCCATTTTCCCTAAATTGTTCTAAAACAGATAATTGGTAATTAAGCCGCAGCGCCCGGCTCAGAAATGGTCCGAATCCGACCCAGAAAAAAAAATAAGTTACAAATATGTGTAGGAGGGGGGTNTTTTTTCCAGTCGTTAAAACTTTAAATCAATTTTATTTCAATTTTCTGCAGGCTGCGTCATGTCCCCAGGAATAAGTTCAAGGTCTGCATTCTTGGAGATCAGCAGCATTGCGATGAAGCAAAGTCTAAAGGTATTAACAACTTTATTGCTGCTCAAATCTGAAAATATGGTTGAATATGCTGATATGTTTCCCACTCCCCATGAAAGGTTTAATCGAGGGAGGAGGTGCAGAGCATCCATGAGCCCCACTAACTGACCTCTGAGCCCCACTAACTGAGCCTCTTGAGTGGTAGAATATACCGCCAATCAAAATCGTCTCCGATCCTTATGCTACGCCTGCCAGGGTAGCCAGCTCTGTCTCCACGTCCTGTGATCCAATATCCACGAACAAATATTTGGCTTTTAAATCCACCAAATGCCTGTAAATCAAATCTGGTACATTTTTTTATCATAGGTGGACCATGCACGAACCTAATAAGACTAATTAAGTCGATTGCTTTATGTATTTAAGTTAATAACAATTATATTTGTGTACATGATACATTGTGAAATGATATCAAATTTGAATTTTTAAAAATAAGCTTCAATAGTTGTGCACAAGTGATAAGGATCTCACAAGTTGTTAAGGCATCATTAAAAACTTTGATAAAAAGGCTGTTGGTTGATGTAAAGCCTAATATTTGTTTTTGGAATTCGAATTGCTTGATATTCTTAGAGTCGGGAGCCTGGCAGACGTAGCATGAGGATCGGAGACTATTTTGATGAAAATAAGTATGGTCCGGAGGTCAATTTGCGGGGCTCCTCGATTCCCTATCTGGAATGTGACTTATCATGCAACGGTTTAAGTGAATAGGGAGTGGGTGACCGTTTCTTATTAGTATTATTAACAGCATCAGTGTATTAGGCTTTAGATTTGATTTTTATAAACTTTCCTTCTTTCCTACTCACCCCACCTTTCCTCCATTTTGTATCTTAATCTCGACATTGGTATCAGCACCACAGTATCAGCTCCAGGTCTGAATTACCATGCAGAACTTGGCGTTCATACTGTGAGAATATCTTCACTTGTCGCTATGTCTTCTGTGCTATTATTGTGTCGGAGATACGAAACATTTGAGACAAATTTGGTTCATAATGACCTAAACCAAAAAAAATTAAGTTATATTTTTTTATCGTGAATTTAAGGTTCGATTTGAATTTCTTTCCCCCCCCCCCCCCTTCCTAAACTTTAGTCTTTATTGGTATCGGCACACCACAGTATCAGCTCCAGGCCTGAGTTACCATGCAGAACTTGGCGTTCATACTGTGATAACATATTCACTTGTCGCTATGTCTTTGTATATCATTGTGCTGGAGATACGAAACATCTGAGACATAGAATATTTGTTAACTTGCCACTTTCTTTGTTGGTTAGCATTATTTCAATGTGATACTTGTTCAGGTCTGGAGTGCATGACTGGTGATGATTTGAAGAAACTGAACAAGGACAAGAAGAAGGTTAAGAAGCTTGCTAAGAGCTACGATGCTTTCCTTGCCTCTGACACTCTGATCAAGCAGATCCCTAGGCTTCTGGGCCCTGGACTGAACAAAGTAAATATGTCTTTCATTTAACCGTATAAACTGAATTTTCATTTAAACTCTGAAACATTACCTGTATGTTCTTCAAATTCTAGATATTTTCAGAAGCCTTTATTAAGTACGCGTTATTTATCAACAAACTGTTCAGGCTGGAAAGTTCCCTTCTCTGATTACTCACAGCGACGACTTGGTCGCCAAGGTTACCGACCTGAAGTCTACCATCAAGTTCCAGATGAAGAAGGTTCTCTGCCTCTCAGTCGCCGTCGGCAACGTCGGCATGTCTGACGAAGAGCTGGTAAGAATTTGAACTTCTATTTATCTATATCTAAGTATCTGAAACAACTAACCATTTTTACCACAGCTTAAGGGATATTTCTGAATAAAAATAAATTTTTTTTCTACGGGACATATTAATACGTATGCTTCTGAGATGTAAAATAAATTTTCAGAAACTGCCATCTGGGAATTTTAAGTCGGTCCCTTAAAGAAAGTAGAAATTAAGTCCAAACTCAATCGTAACTGTAGGTTCAAATTTTGTGTTTGTGCGATACTTTTAAAAACGGTTGATGGCAGGGTCCCTAAATTTTGTGAATTGTGAAGTTGTGTTTCAGCAAAAAAAAAATTAAAACCCTAAATGAAGTAACTGCTCAATTACTGTTAAAAAGGAAATCTTAAAAGTGAAATCGGTAAAAATTGCATTCAAAAAACTTTTGGGTCGGTAAAGAAATTGTAGACCATGTCATACTGTTAAAAAAATCGTTAAAAAACCCAAAAGAAGTTGAAAATTTAAACGAATGCACTTGATTTCTACAATTTCTTAAATTGATTTGCTCAAAATTCCCCGGCATTTCTGAGAATTGGAAATATAACTTTGTAGTCTGAATAATCCAAAGAAAAAGTGAAGGTATTTTGCAGTGCTTGATATCCATTCAATTTTGATGCGGATCCGGATCCGCACTGGAAAAAATGGATCCGGATCCAGGTCATTTCTCAAAGATTTACTGAAAATTTTAACAACAAAATTTTCAAATTTTTGGTTATTTTTTCGCGTATTTTAATCCTAGAACTCAGAAATGAAGAAATTTTCATAATCTTTTTTTTTCAAAAGTTTAGATTTGGTTGGAGTAAAGGGTTTTGGTCGAGTTTTTGGTTGATATTTTACCACTTGGATCCGGATCCGCATATTTTTGCGGATCAGGATCTAGGAAGCCAAAATCCAACGGATCCGGATCCTTAGCACTGGTTTTGACTTTAACCGGATAGTCAATTTTCAGCAGTGTGGATGCAGCACTGATAAATGCACATTGCAATTTTTCTTGACTCAATGAAACTGTTCAAAGCTTGTAATAATTTCCGATTTAAAATTCTTTATTCGGTCCCCATATTTTGTCACCAGAATATAAGCGTGATTTAAAATTTATTTTATGTTAAGGTCCAGAATGTTCATCTTGCCATGAATTTCCTGGTTTCTCTGTTGAAGAAGCACTGGCAGAACGTGAGATCCCTGCACATTAAGTCCACCATGGGACCCGTTCAGCGCCTGTACTAACTGACCAGAATGGTTGGCTACATCTGCATTTAATGGCGATTTATTCAGAATCAATAAATCTTTGCTCTTATACCACTTATTTTGACTGTGTTGTATGTGTGTCTGGAACTTAGAAGTTGAGACTAAAGTATTCTGTTCTATACGGAATATAAGTTCAACATCTTAAATAATAATGCTTAAATCTTCAGGCATGTTTCTACAGATTATCTGTTTTAATATGTGCTAAAAATTCTAAAACTGGGTTGAAATTCTTATTCAATGCGTTCAATATTCGGATTGAGCACTCAAGATGAGAATCTTAAAATTAGAGGTGAGAATTTACAAAAGAAATGTTTAATTTTTAAAGCCTAGTAAAATCTTACTATGTAGTGGGGTTGACAAATTACTATTATGAGTTATTTATTTATTGCAGTGAAACCGTCAATAGCGAATAAAAAGGAATAATTTATCAGATATCGTCTTGACAATTTTTCATTCAGTTTTATACTGTATTGCGTAAATTTCAGTATTAGCGAAAATAAATAAAATAGCCATTAATATGCTGGAACAGTTAAAAAGGAGTTCCATATAATCGTATAATTGGTTTCACTGTACAACGTAAATAACTTACTGAAATCAAGACCAATTGCAGTAAAGCGTGCATTGCTTTTAATCTCAATTACTGCAACTAAAATATTGGCATACGATCTTGTATGATGAAAAAACACAGACCTGTATTGAACAACGTGAAACTTACTTAGCTTCCTGAATTGTGGTTTTATTTAACCTGATCCAGAGTTTTTCTAGTTAAATTTTTAACATTTCTCTTACAGGGTTATCTGATGTTAAAGCCGTAAGTTAGTGGATCATGTCAGAAATATTAAAAGGTACTGAAAACTTTCCAACCGGCCTTTAACTCTGGTCCCTAAAAATAGTAATTAATCTATACTCCAACATACCTTTATTTTTTTAATTCAGTATTTACTTCTCTAATTTCAAAATCTAACCAACGTAGAAGCCTTGATTTGTAAAATATTGTAAACCAAGAGTTCTTGCAAATCTACAAACAAATGGTTTAATATGATGTAAAGAGATAGGGACAACAGAACTAAATGTTGACTTACTTGATAGTATCTGAAAAGAAAAATCTTTAAGACTTTCTTAAATCTAAAATCTTTGATTTTACCAAGTGTAATTCAGGAGTTCTCCCTGACTCGGAATTATTGCTATCTGAAAAATCACTCTTAATATCAGGTAACTCTTTCCGAAACAAATGGTGATTTCCAATATAAGTGATGACTAATCTGACGAGTCCTAGAAAGCACTTACCCGCATTTCATATATTGAGGACTAAGGCATTTGGCTGAATTCTTTTAACTCTAAATTAAAAATAGTTTTTTAATCGCAGCTCATAAATTTATTGTTCACAGGATTGGGTGCAAGGCTGATAGTACAGTACCAACCAGACAATTTCTTAAGAGGTTGATTCTAAGGTAAATCCCTGGTGACATTTATAAATGTTTTCAAAATGACATTTACATGATGACATTAAGCAGGACTAGAGTCTCTGATTTATAATTGAAGATGACCTAAGCAACTGAAAATAAAAATGATAATGATCCAATCTTTGTCATTATCATCTTTTATAAAATCTTCATTGTTACAGGAACGTTGATCTTGAGAATCAATTGAACTTTGCCCAACTGTGTCAAC